TTATCAATCTGTAATAAAAGACGTGAGGAAATTCTGTCTTTTTTAAAGAGAAAAATTTTTGAGGCGAAATACCCAAAAAGAAGTTTGTAAAAAATTTAATACGTTGTGTGATTTCAAAGTTCTTAAATTAACAAGCTAAAACGTCTAATAACTCAAATTACTAGTGAATACCAGAAAATACCAGTGGGGGTTTTTTGATCTGTTGCAAAATATAGAACAAAATTTTCGCCAAATCGTAAACATAAATCCCTTAAAGCGGAATTTTTGCATAAAAAAATTAAAAGAAACATACAAAATAAAATTCTTTCCATATCGGATCCTATTTTTAATAAACCTCTAAGAACCTTAATACCCCATAAATATTTCATAATCTTCTTCGGGATTCGACAAATACAGAAATTGAATAAAACTGAATTATTCTGCTAGCTAAGTTTTGCAGGTAGAAGTTTCAAGCTTCAAAAACATATTTTCAAGAATCGCATTTTCGTTGCATCAATAAAAATTTTAAAACTCAATTTTCACTCAAAAATTGATTCACCCAGTGAAGTTAAACATCGGTAAACGAAACCTGGTTTTAGATACTTAAACCCGAGCTTAATTAGTTTCATCCTCTATGTCTGCTAAAAATATTCGTCTTTGATTCTATATTCAATCCTTTCCTTAATTGTATATATAGGTACATGAGATACAAAAGTAAACCTTAAAAAGTATTGACTTATTATAATTTCGAACACAATAAAATTCCAGCTACCAAGAGAAGTGATGATTAATCAATCCATGGCTTCTTATTACATCGACTTGAAACGTACCCATTCCTGAATGCCATAATCGAAACATTATTAATACGCTTTCAAAGTTTCGCTTTTCCACCCGAACTCGATTATTTTATTAGAAAATTGAAAAGTTAAGTGTAAAGTTCCTTGCCAACAAAACTTACTTAGGCAAAGTGAATTATCGTTCTTACCCCTGTCGTTTCACTGGAGCCAACCTGAAATAGTTCATTATCATTTAAACTTCGTGGACGACTATTTACCTCAATGAAACGAAAATCCGTTAAAAGATAACGCTGACGGCAACTAAACTTTAAAAGGATTAGCATGTAGTTTAGATCGGATTAAGGAATTATTAATACAACATGAGAATTTTGAAGTTGAGTTGAAAAAATCCCTATAAAGTCTATAAATTTCACACATTTAGAATGAAAACCACCGCACATAATTTGCAACTTTCCTGCGACTAATTAAAGTTCAATTAGATAAAACCTTGCAATATCAACCAGCAACTAATTCAACTTTATAGACAACGTTATGAAGTTTAAATGAGAGTCGGAAGTTGTTCTGAAATCTTTTCAGGAAAATGCATAATTGGAGCATTCCCTTCGGCTAGTTAGGCCAACCAGACGCTCAGTTCTGTGTTCGTGAAGCGCCATGTGAACTCGGAAAAACTTTTAATTTCCAGACTTTAAAAGGCTCTCTATGGTTATAATGATAATTGTTCTTCACCGGCTCAGTCAAGTTTAAACTACAAAGTTTTCACAGTCGAATGAAATATGAAATTTTCATTTCATTAACTGATTGAGGTCTGTGGGGGAATTTTACATAAAATTATCAATGAATTATGATAAGATTTCGAGTCTGAAACACTTTGGAATTTACATAATTTGGCTGACAAAAAGACGAAAAGCTAATTGTTAACTAGAAATCATTTAATTTTTTAACTACTTTGACCATGAAAAGCAGCAAAATCAGGCATTCTTTCTTAATGAAAGTCAGGTAAAATCATCTTTTTGCGCCAAAGAATGTCGCAGTATAATTTCGATGATGTGCTTATGGGATACCATGTACAAAAGCTTTTTTAAAAGAAGTTTCACGTGACTTTTTCAAATGTTAATTAACAAATGAAACTTTGAAGTTTTATAATGGTTCTCAGCAAATGCTTAATGGAAGTTCTTCGTTTGGAAAATGTTCTTAGTTTTGCGTTTACGGAGCTTTTGTTGTATAAACTGAAGGAAACTTTTAATATCCAGACTTTGAAAGGGCATATTTGCAAATATTATTTTAGGGCACCGCTTTTTAGAGGACGAATACTTGAACGAAAATGTGAAAAGTTTGTCAGTATTTTGTATTCTCTTATCACGAGAACTATGTAAACATTTTTATTTGTTAAACTTATTTATTTATGTTAAATATATTTGCGTTTTACCCAGCGAAGGAAAATTGAAGGTGATATGATTTATATGAAATATTTTCGTTTTTCGTCTGCTAAAACTGAAAATATATAATATCTACTTGAAGGATCAACACTTTGGTTGACTTCCACCATTGATTCAATGTAATTTTTCTGGAAAACTGCAACAAACTCCGTTTTTCGGTTAAACGGTTAACTAACTTGCTTAGCTATTAGTCGAACTTTACGATGAATAAACTTGCACAAAATTATCTCACCCTATATCTTACACACTTACTGGAATACAAATTACATTTTTTTTAAACCAGTATAGAATCAATATAATTTTTTTTAAACATACACTGAAATTAACTGAGCTCTGATTTAAAGTACCTAAAATGTTCAATTTCAGGCTGTGAAGTTCAAAATTCAATTAAAAAGCGACTCTTTTAAAATATGTGACTCTTAAAATGGCTTAAACTTTTAGATGCAAAAACTGGCAGTGAATAGATGGTGAAATAAAGCGAAAAAGTACCATTATGTCCCAATTTCGTAATAAAAAATGTATCTATTTGTAAGCGATAAAATATTTCTTAACCTTCTAGTTTAACCCTGTAAGAACGATAATACTTTTCATTGTTCATGGACATATTGTGATGGGAAAACCCCATTTATCTAAGTGAAAATAATTGAAAATGAGTTACAAACTGCTGAGGCGGCAAATTAAATTGCGGCCAGGGCCAACCTTATACGCAACTCTATAAAGTTTAAAAGAAAATCCGAAGTTCTTGTGCAGCTTTTCCAAGGGAACGCATAATTAGAGCGCACCCCTTCGGCTAGTTGAGCTAATCAGGCCCTCAATTCTCTGCTAGTGAAGCGCCATATGGGCAAATTCGTGACAAGAGTGGAAAAATAGTTGAAGTTTGCGGTTTCATTAAAGAATATTCTTAGTAACGCAGCAGGTAATTTATAAATAAATTATTTGAAAACTAATCTCCTACTCAATAAGTTCAATCCGAACGGATTCATGATAAAGCTAGAAGCTAATCTTTGTATGGAAACCTAATAAAACCCCCGTTGGTTGCTGTTCACAGCAATTCAGCAAGCGTAACTTTGAAAATAATTAGCGGTAGCAGCTGGAATAAATTTGGCACGCGAAGCTATTGCAGACTGGTCCATGAGAATGTACGTGTTTTGCAATTTAATTGCTTAACAAAGGGCAGTTTTATGTGCAAGCAATGGGAGAAAGTCAGCAACGCTTGTAATGACAAATTCGTCTGTTGGTGCTGGACACTCATAACTTCTGAACAGGCTGGTCTGATTTGTGTAAAGCAATGGATGGTTGAACAGTTAAGATTAAAACTGGATGCTTAAACTCAAAGAATTTGAAGATTTTTCAAACCATATTTCTAATTTGCAAAATTCTCTTGCGCGGTTATTGCTTGAAGTCAGTCAAAAATAAATTATTTTCAACGATAGAGCCGTTAAAATGACGCTTTTTCAGATAGAAAATAAAATTAATGATTTTTTGGTTTTCGTGAAAGTTGCGAAAATTCAAAAAATGCAGATCTTGAAAACGGCTCTAAGTTTTCGGCTAATATTTGGAAAACCAGCAATGCTGTCAAGCTCTAGATGTTATTACAGCATAGAGTCGTAAAATGCGCCCTTTTGTGTACAGAACTTCAATTTTCAAACATTTCTAGTTCACAGGTAAAATGCACATATTCAAAAATAATACGGATCTTGTGAGTTCCTCTATGTCTGTCCCTAATAGTTAGAGAACCTGATGAGACTGAAAGCTACAAAAGTAATTGAGGCATTGAGCCCCAAAAATTAGCACTTTTTTTGTATAGGACCTCAATGTAGGATTGTTTTTAGTCTTCACGCAAAATGTGGTAATTGAGAATAAACACAAAACTTAAAAGACTTGAAAAAAGTCAATAAGAAATTATTTACCACAACGGCCCAAAAACTCGAAAAACTCACCAGCTTCATATCCGTTAACCCAAAATAAAGTAATACATTATTGAGAACAAAAATTTAAAAGATTAAAATAAACGCAAACTATGTGAAAGTTGCTGGGGTTGTTTTACAAACTTCTTGCATGCATTTTTCAATTATAGTCATTATAAATTAGAAATTGCTTGCCTTGGTACAAGCAGTTGAGGTGCAATCACGATAGCGATTAAAAGTAATAATATTGCAATAAATCGTGTTAAAACTATTTCTAAAACATGCAGCTCGCGCTGTTGGAAGCACAAAATTGAATTAATATTTTTCTCAAGTTAACGTCGTTTTTTTGTAAAACCGCAAGTAAAATACAAAGAAATTCACCGGTATGGGGCTCATTTCAAAATTACATATGAATATCCGAGGCAGTTTGGAACAAAATCAAATACTGAGCAAAAACATCTACAAAAGTTAACTCAAGAAAAAACCAAGTTTGTTGTAAAAAAATCAAGGTTTCAAGAGTAGAAATGAATTTTCCAAAATAAAAGTTGAAAATTTCATTTTTCTCAGACTAACTTTTGAATCAGACTAATGTTGATTTATGTTGGTTTACTCATAACACACGATTGGCAATATATTAATGCAAATAATGTCGATTTTAGGTTCCAGATCATCTGACTAGATCCTATTCGAATGGATTGCATGCGCATGGTTTTTTTGAAACCAGAGCTCCCTCCATCAAGCAGATTTCCGTGGAAGTTTCCGAACTACATGGGGACGTAGATAACAAACTTAGGCTCACTTGTGTGGCCACCATTCCTGGATATGTAAACAAGGAGCAGAAATATGCTGATATCCGAAATGCAACAGTTGAACGTAAGCATCTTTAATACTGCAGGAACTGAGTGCATTTTTGTTTCGATTATTTTTCAGTGATATTTTCTGCATCTTACGTCAGCAACCAAAACGATTTTAAAAAGAAAGCTTCAAGTGGGCTAAAATATAAAACGTCCTTTCCGGGAAACTTTTAACATAAAAGCGCAGTAAATTGCAGGTGCAACGCCACTTTGTGAGTGTCTATAAATTTCTAGTATCGGGTGTTTAACTAAGATTTTCCTCCTAAAACTGTTTCTAATTTTATACAGCAACAGTTTTCTAACATTTTGCGGCTTCCCACCGAATTTAAGCGGAAAAAAGTAAATAGATTTTCAGCAAGTACTCCAAAACACTGTAAATAAACCCTTTCCAACTTAACTAAATAAAATAAATATCCAGGCAGTTATTTACAGAGAACAGTTACTGTCTGTTTGTCTATCCAATGTGAAAAGCCTTTCGCCCCAAAAGATGTTTCAAATTGTAAAGGGAACAAGATACTTGAAACTAAACAAAGTGGAAAAGAACCATTAGGATTCTGGAAATTTATTCCTAAATTAATTGCTTTGTATTTGTTTTGGGAGGGAGCTAATTCTTCGAAATGGCATTTCGTTGTACGGGTGAAACACGCACTGAACTTAAGTCTTTTACAATGGATTGTTTCCAGTGTTGGGAGAAGTTGTAGGTGGATACACGTGAAATAGTCAGAAGGTATATCATTAAATAATCAGTTGAATGAAATAATAACAAGCTCGAATGGTTTTCTATGGAAAAATATTCTTTCTAGGGAAATTTCATTAGAATCAATGATTTTCAGGTGTTTAGGTCGCTGTCGATACGAATTCGTTTCGGGATGAACTCTCAAAAGTTTTTCTGAGAATTCTCAGACGAAACATCAGGATCAAATTCCTATCGGCAGCGGTCTAAAGACCAGATATTCATCGAATTTAAGGATAAACTTTAACAGCAACTCTAAAAATCAATGCACTAACAGCGTTTATAAGGTTCAGTAGCAAATGATGATCCGTAGAATGTAATGATGAGAAAAACTGCAACTGGAAGAGAACAAACTAATTTAGAAAGCGTTTGATGGGTTTTTTTGTCAATTTTGCTTTCGTCTCCTTAATTTTTATTTCGCATTAAAA